TGGTGGTTATGTGGGAACAAAGGGTGGGATGGAACGTGTGACTGTTGTGTGTAGTGGGTTATGCTGGCTCGTGTTGGCTGGTGTGGCAGCAATATGCCTTAAGGGTGTCTAGCGGTGGCGGCACCGGGGGCGCTATAGCTACCCCTGGATTAGTCATTACACCCCATAGCACCTCCAAGTAAATATTAGATATTTTTTTTTACAATTTAATTTCAATTTAACGTGCGGATGTGATAATATTTAACATACAAAACAAAAATAATCAGAAAATTATCATATAGATAGTGAAAACTTAAACCAAAACAGGAAATTGATGTTAACCTTTGACCTCATTTTCCACCTGCGAATGAGTGAAAGTTAGAGCCAGTGTTATAATGGATCGGTTTTTGTTGCCCAAATTTCCACAGGTTCAGTCAGAAATGAATGAATCTTTGGAAGTGATCTCAGACCCACAAAAACCTATGGATCTGCATGAAGAGAGTCAACCCTCAACCGCCGCAGCAGTCGAGGGTTTAGCCGCTGGAAATGCTAACACTAATGTTAGCTAACCTTGCAACACTATAGATGGTTTTCTGTGCGGCTGTGTTTATGATTTCATAGAAAAGTCAGCGATTGTTCATATGTTTATGATGTATATTAATGATTGTTTCAGGTGTTGTTGAGGTTTTGTGCACGCATGTGTATCTGCTAGTGTTGCAGGTGTTTTAGAGAACAATAGGTACGCATGACCACTTCCTTCATAGCACCCTCAATAAAAAGACTGGCTCCTTCATAGCACCTGCAGAAAAAAATTTCTGGAGCCGCCACTGGCGCCTAGCCTGCCTTATTTCAACGAAGAAGAAGAAGAAGAAGAAGAAGAGGTTTTAAAGGGTAAAGCTCTGAGTGATTCAGAGGGATTGTTTTGAAGGTGACAATGTTATTGGCTCCTGTTGTTTTAAAACACCTTCAGTTTGGTAGAACTTTTAGCATAAGTTTTAACCAGGTGTTTTTAAATGTTGGTAATTGATCTTTTAATGTTAAACTTTTGAGAATTTTTGTTTGGCATTATTTTAATAATGCTCACCATCTGCACTTGTTTTTAGAACCTTTTGACTATTAAACCCATTTTAAACCAACTATCATGTTTCTTACACTCAACAAAATTGTAAAGACAACACATTTGTTTCTGCTCCGATTTTTCATAAGATGGACTTAAAGATCTAAAATTTATTCCAGATACACAATATTACCATATCTCTCAAACATTGTTAACAAATCAGTCTAAATGTGTGATAGTGAGCACTTCTGCTTTGCTGAGATAATCCATCCCTCCTCACAGGTGTGCCACATCAAGATGCTGATCCGACGTCATGAGTAGTGCACAGGTGTACCTTATACTGCCCACAATAAAAGGCCACTCTGGAATGTGCAGTTTTGTCTCACAGCAAATAGCCACAGATGCCACAAGCATTGAGGGAGCGTGCAATTGGCATGCTGACAGCAGGAATGTCAACAAGATCTGTTTCTCGTGCATTGAATGTTCATTTTCTCCACCATAAGCCATCTCCAAAGGCGTTTCAGAGAATATGGCAGTACATCCAACCAGCCTCACAACCGCAGACGACGTGCAACCACACAAGCCCAGGACCTCCACATCCAGCAGGTTCACCTCCAAGATCGTCTGAGACCAGCCACTCAGACAGCTGCTGAAACAATTGGTTTGCATAACCAAATAATTTCTGCACAAACTGTCAGAAACCATCTCAGGGAAACTCAACTGCATGCTCGTCGTCCTCATCGGGGTCTTGACCTGACTCCAGCTCGTCTCCGTAACAGACTTGAGTGGGCAAATGCTCACATTCGATGGCGTCTGGCACATTGGAGAGGTGTTCTCTTCACGGATGAATCTCAGTTTACATTGTTCAGGGCAGATGGCAGACAGCGTGTGTGGTGTTGTGTGGGTGAGCGCTTTGCCGATGTCAATGTTGTGGATCAAGTGGCCCATGGTGGTGGTGGTGGGGTTATGGTATGGGCAGGCATCTGTTATGAACGAAGAACACAGGTGCATTTTATTGATGGCATTTTGAATGCACAGAGATACCTTGATGAGATCCTGAGGCCCATTGTTGTGCCGCACATCCATGAACATCACCTTATGTTTCAGCAAGATAGTGCACGGCCCCATGTTGCAAGGATCTGTACACAATTCTTGGAAGCTGAAAATGTCCCAGTTCTTGCATGGCCAGCATACTCACCGGACATGTCACCCATTGAGCATGTTTGGGATGTGCTTGACCAGCGTATACGACAGCGTGTACCAGTTCCCACTAATATCCAACAACTTTGCACAGCCATTGAAGAGGAGTGGACCAATATTCCACAGGCCACAATTGACTATCTGATAAACTGTATGCGAAGAAGATGTGTTGCACTGCATGAGGCAAATGGTGGTCACACCAAATACTGACCAGTTCTGAGTCCCCAGACCCCCCAAAAAGCCAAAAAACTGCACATTCCAGGGTGGCCTTTTATTGTGGGCAGTATAAGGTACACCTGTGCACTATTCATGATGTCAGATCAGCATCTTGATGTGTCAAACCTGTGAGGTGGGATGGATTATCTCAGCAAAGCGCATGTGCTCACTATCACACATTTAGACTGATTTGAGAACAATGTTTGAGAGAAATGGTAATATTGTAGCCTAGTGAACTAGACCAAATTCTTGCTCTGCAAAGTTTGGTCTAGGAATGCTCCACTGGAACCTCTGCAGCCCCACCAGCATTCTGGCTGGCCAATCACAGCTCTCTAGAGGGGTTTCAAACACATAAAAAGCTGTGATTGGTCCATAATGGTGGGCCAATCATAGTGCTCTATCTGCTTAGTGAACAAATCCCAGAGCTTTATCCGCTTTGTGGTCCAATCAGGGCACTCTATATGCCTGGTGGGTGGGATGACGCAACAGAGTGAAACAAGAGTATGTCACATTCATTGTCCAGTAGCATGCGGAGATCATTTGAAAGACAACGGTAGAACCCGTCCCACAACCGAGAGCTGTCAATGGAGCGTTGCCAGACTGAATAATACATTTATTTAGTCTGGCTTGCCAGGCTAGTAATATTGTGTATCTGGAATGAATTTTAGATCTTTAAGTCCATCTCATGAAAAATCGGAGCAGAAACAAAGGTGTTGCGTTTATATTTTTGTTGAGTGTATGTTACCCCTTCCTTCACATTTTAACAACACATGTCGGGGACGTAACAGTCATCCCATGTTTTTTGTACGCTATTAATCCACCCTAAATTTGCACTAAGCTTCACAGTTTTAATGGTTTTGAGGGATATTGGTGTTTCGGTAAACTTGTTCACCCTGGCTTATGCTTTTTTTTTTTATGTTTGTGCAACGAAATGTACCAACCCTCCCCATAACCAGGAAACAGGGTATGCAGCTCACAAAATACCTCAGGAACCATGTGTTTCCCTACTTGCTTATTTGTTTTGATTTGATTTCCTTCAAATCTTACTAACTCTGCACTCATCCACATGGAAAGAAAAGGCATGTATATGGTAAATGGTAATGATAAATGGACTGTATTTGATATAGCACCTACTAGAGTCCTAGATCCCCCTTCCCCTCTCCCAAGGCATCCTACAACACAATCAGTCATTCACCCATTCACAGACACATTCACACTCTGGTGATGATGAGCTACATCCTAGCCACAGCTGTCCTGGGGAGCACTGACAGAGATGAAGCAGGCACTACCAGTCCCTCCGACCACTACCAGCAGGCGTCTTGCCCAAGGACACAATAACAGTGACAAGCTGAGCACGGCTTGGACCTGCAACCCTCCGATTGCTGGGCTGGCTAAGGTCTTCTGCCATCATATATATATATATATAAATATAAATATATATATATATATATATATATATATATATATATATATATATATATATATATATATATATATATATATATATATATATATATATATATATATATATATATATATATATATATATATATATATATATATATATATATATATATGGAGGAATGCGATTACAAAACTGGGATAGGGGAGCTGAAACAGGTGTGATCAATTGCTGACTGGGAAGCTGTTTCATCAGATATTCAGAGAAAAACATGAAGTTCTAACGAGTTGGGTGACAGTGGCTCTGGGGCTAGGAGTTCACCCTGTAAACAGTGAATAGCCAGTTTTAACCCAGGCTCCTCCCATGTTTATCACACTGAATGGAATAAAAGGAAACTACAAATGATTGAATAACCTGATGCAAAGGTGCCAAGTACACCTGATATATTAGCGGACCAAAAACATACCTCTGAGGAACCCCATAGCTAATGGTGAGAGATTTGTAGAATGTATTATTTTACACATAAAGATTGTTCTAGAACCACTGAAGCACATGACCTGAGAGATGCCATGAACACAATTAGAAGCTCTCAATGTTTAATATGTACTGTTACAAATGATTTTTACTTTTGGTAGACAAATATTTAATTACTCAAAAACCCTGCACCTGCTCTGATTTTTACATCTATAAAAATATACATAAAAGCAAATTAATCAAAACTAAAATAAAGGTAACATTATGTTGTCTCACATAGAGTGGCAGTAAAGTATAATTCATCAGTCGTTCAGTTTCAATTCACAAGCACACATGCAACTATGCACGCACACACAAACACACACACACACACACACACAAATGCTAGCATGCACGCATGCATGCACACACACATACACACACATATGCGAGCAAGCACACACACACACACACACACACACACACACGCTCGCACGCAGATGGGTTTGTAATAACAAAGACATCCATTCATTAAGATTCTTCCAGATGGAGCGAGCAGGCTTTGGTTCATCTGAATCAGCAGGAGGAGCTCCCCTTTAACCCAGTGCCAGCCACCTCCGCTGCACACTTTGGTGAAAACGTTGCCTCTCTCAGTCTGCTCAAAAACAAACACAGACACAGCAGCAGGTTTACCTGAAATGATGGAGGCATGTCTGAATTCCTCAGAGAAGTGGATGGGCTCGTACGGAGACGTCTCGTAAAACTCTTCACCTAAAAAGAAAAGCAGAAAACTGTTAAGAGAGTAAACAAGTAACTGGCCATCTGGATATGTCTGGAAACTTTTCTGAAATCACTTCCTTATGAACAAATCTCTTAGAAAAATGTGACAAAGTTCTGGGGACTATAATTCAGGGAGCTGAAATTGGTTGAGAATATGCTGCTTAGTGCTTTCATAAAGTCAATTACAGCTGCACAGAGACAAAATCAGAGAATGAGGAGGTGTTGGGGTTATTAGGAGCGAACAATTAGTAAGCTTCAACTTACTTTTGGATTCTTCAATAAATTCTGTAAATATGGGAATATTTACTGATTTATTAATTAATTAAGATATTCTTAGATATACGGGGCACCATTCCCCTTTTTCCGGGGAAAAATTGAATCCAAAACTCTTATCAGTCTTTCTTGAAGTTCGTAGAATCCTTGGAGCAGAGACTTCTCTTCGACACAACAAAGCTACTGGACACAAAAATCTGAATTTTATAACATTTAATTAACAATTTGTCAAATGATAAACAGTGGAATAGATGAATAATAACCGTGTGATATGATTGAAGATGGATGTGTTTGCATGTGATGGAGGATGTATGAATGGGGTCCTTTGTTCTCACAAAGGAGTAGTGTGTGTGTGTGTGTGTGTGTGCGTGTGTATGGATTCAAAATGGAGTCTTGAATACAAGATGGCTGACCCCTTTGTCTGGCTAAAGTGTGGGTGGCAACTTGCACTTTAACTTCCAAAGCACTTAGAATCAGTAGTAACTTAACCTTAAATCACTCAAAACATTTCAAAAGATCATGAAACAACACAAAAGATTAATCACAAATTAATATCTTTTAGTTTCAGCCTGGCCATGACAGAAACCATTTTAAGATACCAAACAATGATCAATAAGCAGTTTATTCTTTCAAAATGACCCGACGGACGTGTTTGGGACGAAAGAGGAAAACACGAGGCTACTTTTTAAGCAATAGCGCGGTTTTATTGCTTATTCTGGACTATAGAGTTAACGGAAGAAGAAGGAGAGAGAAAAAAATGAGTTTTCTGATCACCAAAGCAGCAAGGCGTCCCCGCTGTTATGATTTGACGGTTCTCCGTTTTCTCCGCAGTTTTCAGCGTCGTCCGTCGGTTAGATGCTTTCTCCGTTGTTTGGCGTTCACGAGTGTTTCTCCACGGGCTGGACAGAGACAGCAAAGTTTCTTTCTGTGCTGAGTTATAACTTACAGCGTGCTTGATGGAGTTGTTGCTTTCCTCCGCAGTTCTGTGTCCTCAAACATCAGCTGGAGGGGAGCAGAAACGAGCAGATCTGATGGGCTTGCAGTTTAGTTTCCAGCAGTTCCGTGGGCTCAACTCGGGCACTTAGAGCTTCCACGTGCTCAAGTTGTCAGAGCGTTGACAAGCGTGTCCTAACCGCCAGGTATCCTGGGCAAAAGAACGAGGATTCTTTGTCTCTGCTGAAGATTTATGGTCTTAGTTCGCGGGAAAAGCTCCACGGCTTCCCGCACATGCGCAGAACGTGTTTCTGGTACTAGGCGGTGACATCACCCAATGCTTCCGTGTGCAAAGCATCATGGGAAATGAAGTTTCTTGGCGCTGATGTGATTATTTGCTTTTCAGAGCAATTTAAGCACAGTCATTTTGGAGAAAATCACTGCATAGTAATTTCCTCATGAGGTCAGACCCTCAACAGAGGACATATTCATCTTCATGACTACAGATTAAAATTATTCATTTTTATTTTAGTTCAGTCCAACATATGAAACAGTTTAGCTAGCTCCATCGGTATTTCTTATTTCAGTCTACTTTTGCCTTAAGATTTTCCAGGGCTGGGCAGTGTGGCAAATTTTCCATAACACAAATTTAAATACTTGCTCAGGGAAGCTCAACTGCTCCTCTTTGAACCGTCACCTTATCGTGGTGGAGGAGTTTGAGTGCCCTAATGATCCTAGGAGCCATGTTGTCTGGGGCACGTTGTGCCCCTGGTAGGGTCTCCCATGACAAATTGGTCTTAGGTGAAGGGTGAGACAAAGAACGGTTCAGAGGATCTTTCATGGATGTACAATCAAAGAGTGGGAGTACCCGGCACGGAGGGTTACCGAGGTCCCACCCTGGAGCCAGGCCTGGGGTTGGGGCCCGTGAGCGAGCGCCTGGTGGCCGGGCTTTCGACCATGGGGCCCGGCCGGGCCCAGCCCGAACCGGATACCTGGGCTCATCCAACTGTGGACCCACCACCCGCAGGAGGAACATGAAGGGTCCGGTGCAGTGTGGATCGGGTGGCAGACTGAGGCAGGAGCCTTGGCGGCCTGATCCCCGGACAAGGAAACTGGATTTTGGGACATGGAACGTCACCTCTCTGGCGGGGAAGGAGCAGGAGCTTGTGGCAGAGGTTGGGCGGTACCGGCAAGATATAGTCGGACTCACCTCGACACATAGCATTGGCTCTAGAACCCAAGTCCTTCAGAGGGGTTGGACACTCTCCTTTGCTGGAGTTGCTCCGAGTGAGAGGCGGAGGGCTGGGGTTGGCGTTTTGTTAGCCCCAAGACTCTCTGCCTGTGTGTTGGGGTTTACCCCGGGGGATGAAAGGGTAGCTTCCCTGCGCCTTCGGGTCGGGGAACGGGTCCTGACTGTTGTTTGTGCTTATGGGCCAAATATCAGTTCAGAGTACCCACCCATTTTGGAGTCCCTGAGATGAGTGCTAGATAGTGCTCCATCAGGGGACTCCATTGTCCTGCTGAGGGACTTCAATGCTCACGTGGGCAATGACAGCATGACCTGGAGGGGTGTGATTGGGAGGAACGGCCCGCCTGATCTGAAATTGAGTGGTGCTTTGTTATTGGACTTCTGTGCAAGCCGCAGTTTGGCCATAACGAACATCATGATTGAACATAAGGATGCCCATTGGTACACTTGGTACCAGGGCAGCCTAGGTCGCAGGTCGATGATAGACTTTGTAGTCATGTCATCTGACCTGCGGCCGTATGTTTAGGACACCCGTGTGAAGAGAGGAGTGGAGCTGTCAACTGATCACCACCTGGTGGTGAGTTGGATCAGATGGCAGGGGAAGATGCCGCATAGACCTGGCAGACCCAAACGCATAGTGAGGGTCTGCTGGGAACGCCTGGCAGAAGAACCTGTCAAGACGGTCTTCAACTCCCATCACCGGCAGAGCTTTGACCATGTCCCGAGAGCAGTGGGCGACATTGACGCCGAGTGGGCCTTGTTCCACTCTGCGATTGTTGAGGCGGCTGTTGCTAGCTGTGGTTGCAATGTGGCCGGTGCCAGTCGTGGTGGCAACCCCCCTACCCGCTGGTGGACACCAGAGGTTCGGGGAGCTGCCAGGCTGAAGAAGGAGGCCTACAGGGTGTGGATGGTCTGTGGGTCTCCGGAGGCAGCAGACAGGTACCGGATAGCCAAGCAGGGTGCAGCGGTGGCAGTTGCCGAGGCAAAATCTCGGGCATGGGAGGAGTTTGGTGAGGCCATGGAGAAAGACTATCGATCGGCTCCAAAGAGGTTCTGACAAACTGTCCGGCTTCTCAGGAGAGGATGGCAGCAACTCGCTCACAGTGTTTACAGTGGGGATGGGGAGCTGCTGATGTCAACTGGGGCTATAGTCGGACGGTGGAAGGAATACTTTGAGGAGCTTCTCAATCCCACCTACTCTCATTCCGAGGACGAACCAGAGCCGGGAGACCTAGGGATGGACTGTCCAATCTCGGGGGCAGAAGTTGCTGAGGTAGTAAAACAACTACACAGCGGCAGAGCCCCGGGGGCGGATGAGCTTCGTCCTGGGTATCTCACGGCTATGGGTGTGGTAGGGCTGTCATGGTTGACACCTCTCTGCAACATTGCATGGTCATCGGGGGCAGTTCCTGTGGAGTGGCAGACCGGGGTGGTGGTCCCCATCTTTATGAATGGTGACCTGAGGGTGTGTTCCAACTATAGGGGGATCACACTCCTCAACCTCCCTGGAAAGGTCTACTCCAAGGTACTGGAGAGGAGGGTCCGATCGATAGTTGAATCTCAGATTGAGGAGGAGCAATGTGGGTTTCATCCTGGCCGTAGAACTGTGGACCAGCTCTATACCCTTGCAAGGGTGATGGAGGGGGCATGGGAGTTTGTCCAACCAATCCACGTGTGTTTTGTGGATTTGGAGAAGGCTTATGACCGTGTCCCCAGGGACACCCTGTGGGGGACGCTCCAGGGGTATGGGGTGGGTGGCTTTCTGTTAAGGGCTTTTCAGTCCCTTTACCAGAGGAGCGTGAGTTTGGTCTGCATAGCCGGTAGTAAGTCTGACCTGTTCCCGGTGAGGGTTGGACTTCGCCAGGGCTGCCCTTTGTCACCGGTTCTGTTCATTACCTTCATGGACAGAATTTCTAGGTGCAGCCGTGGTGTGGAGTGTGTCGAGTTTGGTGGCCGGAGAATCTCGCCTCTGCTTTTTGCGGATGATGTGGTCCTCCTAGCTTCATCCAGCTCTGACCTTCAGCTGTTGCTGGGTAGGTTCGCGGCCGAGTGTGAAGCGACTGGGATGAGGATCAGCACCTCCAAATCTGAGACCATGGTTCTCGACTGGAAAAGGATGGCTTGCCAACTCCGGGTGGGGAGAGAGGTCCTACCTCAAGTGGAGGAGTTTAAAAATCTTGGGGTCTTGTTCACGAGTGAGGGTAGGAGGGATCGGGAGATCGATAGGCGGAATGGTTCAGCGTCTGCAGTGATGCGGACGCTGAGCCGATCTGTCATGGTGAAGATGGAGCTGAGCCAGAAAGCCAGGCTCTCAATTTACCGGTCGATCTACGTCCCACCTATGGTCATGAGCTTTAGGTAATGACAGAAAGAACGAGATCGCAGATACAAGCGGCCGAAATGAGTTTTCTCCGTAGGGTGGCTGGGCTCAGTCTTAGAGATAGGGTGAGGAGCTCGAACATTCGGGAGGGACTCGGAGTAGAACCGCTGCTCCTCTGGATCGAAAGGAGTCAGTTGAGGTGGTTTGGGCATCTGG